GGTAACGCGCACCAAAAATGCCTTCCTAGAAACCAAATTTATCATTAAATTCTCGATTTCCCCAGCTATTGAATGATTACGAAAGTCTAGTGAGGAAATAGGAAACACCTTTTTTTGACTGTGGAAATTGAAAAATCAACTCAACGAGGGTAAACTTTTGGTAGATGCTATTATATAAGCAAACGCATTTATATGCTGACTGATGTCACTTGTATATGTTATCAGTTGCCGAGTATTTCAATAAACAAATCTACAATATTTGTAGAGATTCGAAAACTTAAGCTCAAAAAAGCACTTTTCGACGTTTTACTCTAGAACTTGATGAATATGGACTCTGCCAAGGTTACGTCGACAGCATACTAAAGTCCTTCAGATAAGTCATTTTCAAATGTCATACACTGTGAGTTGCAAGCAACCTGCAGTATGAAATGCATTTTATGCGACCTGTAAGCAACCGATTCCTCATGTCCAAACTTGCCAAAGCAGCAAAGAAGCGTTAAAGAAAGATCTGGAAGAGAGGAGAGCAGCAGTTATAGCAGAAGCTGCGAAAGTTGGGAATAGCATTCGCAAAGTAAAACAAAGCTTGGCTAGTTACAACACCAATGTATATACACTTTGATGCGCTAGCGGATCAGTCACAGCTTCCCAAAAAGCAATGGAAACACTCCTCATGAAGAATCAAGCAACACTCAATGACACTGCAAGAAAGCGATGCAAATACAGAAAGAGCGTGTTGGTGTTTAATAGAAGATCTTCATAGCTCGGTGAAATTTCCAATCATCTTGCATTTATAGTTTACATACGTAATCAGTCAGATCATCTTGAAGAAAATTGATAGAATACTGAGCATAGGAAAGCCGTGTGATCAAGAAAGGTTCTCAGAAGATTATACTATTGTAGACCACATTCACACGATAACAAAATTCATTTGAGCATCGCGAGAGCACAACAGCCCTCTGAATCTCATCTTCATCGACTTAAATGAGGCCTTTGATTCGGTCAAAACAGAAGCAGTCATAAGGGTTTTGGAGAAGAGGGCATTCCTGCTCAGTACGTAAGGCATCTTCACAAGCAACATGAATATTTTACAACTAAAGCATTACCATTCTACAACAATATCACGTCGACGTGAAAGGCGAGAAGAAAGGGAGGTTGAGTTCACAAGGCTATTTGATCTCGCCAAGGCTATTTACTGTTTCACTCTGAAACACTGTGCGAACGATAAATAGAATGGAAGGTACTTTTTCGTTATCCAAACTCTGTTTCGACCCTTCAGAAAGGGCTTATTTTTGACCCTCTCTAATTCTAAAGCAACTGTTCGATTGCTTACGACAAAAGAATTTGAATGGTCCATTTCATTCTGAAAAGGCTCTATTATTCCCTTGAAAGAGCATAAATAGAATTTTGTTACTCATTCGAACATTTCTCGATGAGCAAATTTTTTTTACGAGCTTGAAGAAGAAACCAATAGGCAAATTTTATGGATTCTTGTGGTGTTTCTGGTTTTTCGAACGGACTTCTCGATACGCTATAACAGCTAAAAAAAAGATTGGGTTTTGCAAAACTTCATTACTCTTATCTTTTGCGCCTTTCTTTAGAATCATGAGTGAAACGTCTCTTTTGCCTTTTCCCAAATTTAGCAACCACCCAATCCATCAAATCTCAGAGATTTCATTGGCGTACTTTGTTTTCAATATGGCTGCACTATCACGTTACAAGAGCAGGAATGAAATTTTGTTCCTCATTAAAAATCACTTGCTGGACTTTTTCTTTGAACTTTCAGAAACGATTCGATAGCTTGAATCTTATCGATTTTGACAGTGTTTTTGGTTTATAAAAAAACTTCTATTGCGCTGTAGCTGCCAAAAGAATATTAAGCATCGCGCAGCGCTACGTGGCTTCAAGCCACTATACTTTAGAGGTATGTGCATAAGCTTTTGCCGTATTGGCACCAGGCCAACATGCTTTTAGTTGTGTGTGAACAAGATTTTACAACAAGCGGCACGAGTCCACTGCACATCGCTTCCCTTTCTACTCTTTTCTGCTGGTTTTCATCGAGTTCTCTCATTTATGTGCTTTCATGCTTTACCAGGTACTGAAAAAGAGGCAGTCATGCCATGACTCAAAACATGGCGTGTTACAAAGCGAACGGCTGTGCAGGAAATGTTATCGAATGATGCTTGATTTTTATCTACAGAGTTTTTGGCGATATTACAAGCATGTTTTGAAAAAACCTCGCCGGTTGAGACACATCACTCGCACCGAGTGTGTAAGCCAATCTTCTTTTAGCCCTTGCAGCGCACTAAGAAGTCTGCGAAGATGTCACTGGAATCCGGAGGTTTGGTCTATCGGTTTTCAATGAAGAACTAGAGAAGTAGCTTCGTTCAGCGAGAAATGCTTTGATAAGGAACAAGTTTTCATTTTAGCTCTTTCAGCGCAATAATAGAGTGTTCTCAAAAATGAAATGCACCAATCGAATTCTTCTAATTTTGCTAGGGATTCATTATCTAAACGTCAAAAATCACTAAGAAGTATGCTTTTTTGAAGGGTCAAAGCAGAGCACGGCTCATGGAAATAGTCCAGTATTGCGAAACTCAATCTCTTTTGGCTGTTACAGTGCACCACAAACTCCATTTCAAAATCAAGGTACATTCATTGGAAGCCCTTGTTGTAAAACTCTTAAGAAAATGTTATGATCAGCGAGAAATGTTTGAATAAAAAATAAAGTTTCATTTTTGCTTCTTCAGCATCATAATAAAGCCTTTTCAAAAAAATAGGGAACCATTAGACCTCTTTTGATTTGAGCTATCGATCGGATTCATGAACATTGAAAACGACAAAAAAAAGTACATTTTTTCAAGAGATCGAGACAGAGTACGGATATTAGGAAAGTACCGTAGAAAGCAATATAGAAGTGAAAATCAACTATTGACGATAGCACATTTTCGACGTACTAATGATTTCGTTCTTATAACATCTAGAACCAGTCAGGCGGAACGAATTCAATCACCTCCAACATCGCTTGTGTAAAGACTAGATTTTACCTGAATTTCGGAAAGACGATCTTATGAGCAATATAGTGGCTGTGGATGTCCAGTTTGCGCCCAATGAAACAGATATCGCGGGATGCTCCAGTTACGTCTACGTAGGTTGCAAAGCCATATGATGGATGACTTTTCTCCAAAGTTGAGCAGAAAGAAGCGAGCGGATCTGAAAACATTCGAAACCGAGGACAATGCAAAGAGAACAAGGAAGACTGAACTACGTGACCATAATCTATAGTAGACTCAACGATTAACTCTGCCTTAGTTCATGCGTCACAAACCTGATTGCCGCATAAGCAAGATGAAAAATCACCAGGAGTTGTTGAATGTGCACTCGATGTTAGGAATATCCATTGCTTTACAAATGAAAGAAAAAATCCAAAGTTTCGATCTGCGCTAACGATCGTGAATCAAGATGTCCTTAATACGCCATGCTATCGAAAGTGATGTGAGCTATACACGCAATGAGTTCTAACGGAAACATACGGACGAGAGCCGTGACCGACTGGATTGCTCGAGATGTTAAACGCACCACAGAGAGCACCGACTACATAATTCGATTTATCACGAAAAGCGTAGATGAAAGTTATGATGCTCGGATGTCCCTGCAGCCAGTAGAATTCACCGACCGACTCTTGCATGCAATGAGAAAAGTTGGAAACTCTAGAGGTGCCTGCTATCGTGACACTTGACGATTAACAGAAAGACAGGTGATCAGTCGAAACATCAGATAAATCTTGTGCTGTTGGGAAAAGATGAAAGCTTTTTTAAAGAAGAAAAAAAAGGGTAATAGCGAGCTGTCGAGACATCTTTGAGATAGATGAGTTCAGCGAGTAACATTAGAAAATGTGCGCCGATGTTAATAAGGTTGGCTGCTACGATGCGCCACTGACATTCAAGCTGTTAAATAAGTGCTGAAGGACTGCGAGAAAGGTTCGGTCTACAGAAAAACGTATCGAAACGCTTTAGGTGTAGAACTCAATTTTGCCTTTGCCACCACAACGCGATTCGAAGGCCTTTCGAGTGAACAAGAAAGCATTAAAGTGTCCGAGTTTTGAGCGCTCGAATAACTACCCATTGATGTAGAGTGATATGCTAAGCTTTCGCATCAGGCGAGACTACAACTCACACCTCACTCTTTCCTGGAGCGCGTGCTCTATCTGTTACACTACTGCCCCCATTTTGCACATCGCTCTCTCTACGCTACAGCATATACAGCGCATCTATCTGTCAGCCGCTAGCCGTCAACGGCGTGGCCCAGGTAGTCGGTCTTGACATTGAACCCAGTCACGCTGACAGATATTGGGTATTGAAGATCAGATTGATTTCCTTTTTATTTAACCGCCTCTAGCGGTGGTACATCTTAGCGTGACTGGGTTCAATGTCAAGACCGACTACCTGGGCCACGCCGTTGACGGCTAGCGGCTGACAGATAGATGCGCTGTATATGCTGTAGCGTGGAGAGAGCGATGTGCAAAATGGGGGCAGTAGTGTAACAGATAGAGCACGCGCTCCAGGAAAGAGTGAGGTGTGAGTTGTAGTCTCGCCTGATGCGAAAGCTTAGCATATCACTCTTCAACAATGAGCATATATTTGGAGCATTATACTGCCATTAGAAGCGATTAAATAAAAAGGATTTCTATCGAATAACCACAAAATTCCAAGAAAAAGTGAAAAAAGCATTTGTGCCAAACTATTGAAAAAAGAGGCATTTTTATTTGACCGCTACTTGCGGTGCTATAATGTTTAGATATACGCAATGATGTAGAGCGCTGTATAAAAACGTTTGCGTCAGCCGGGATTCAAACTGAGATCTCGGGAGCGTATGCTAACCGCTATATCACCGACGCCATGCGTCAGTCGGAATTCTAACCAGGATCTCATTCTCTCTGGGAGCGTATGCTAACCGTTACACCACCGACGCTCGTTGTGCACAGCCTCTTTCTGCGCTACAATGCGTTGGTAGTGCAACGCTTAGCATAAGCTCCAGGAAAGAGGAGATCCGGGTTCGAATCCCGGTTGACGCAAACGTTTTTGTACAGAGCTCTACATTATTGGAGAAAAAGAATTACGACAACGAGAATGAACCGTGGCGAAAAAGTATAGTGTTCCCGCTTTCCATGCATTTCCTTCGCTCCAAACTCTGAGGGCAGAATCGCCAATAAAGGGTGAATGCTTCTTCAGGAAGTGGAAAGATAAATCAAGAAAACTGGAAAAAAACAGGTGAATGTGGTCATTTACGGAAAACTGGTTATCATTAAATACGTACCTCTAAATCAGTTGCCACATCTGCATCTGCCATTTGTGCCTCGAAGAGTGGCTAGATTGTAAGGTGGGGCTCGCATGGTGTCAACTTACCACTTGATAGGTGAGCAGCCATACAGTGTACTGTCCCTTTCTAACGTTAGCACATAAGAGGCGCTTAAACGCCCTTGAGTGCGTCCTCGACATTTGAAATCTCCTCCAATTCTTGCAGTCAAATCGGTAAAACTCGTCCGCTCCATACTTTTATCATTCAACACCTATTGCCGCGGCACTTCTCGCTATTACGCTAATGTCTTTTTTCTCTTGATTAAAAGATTCAGGCCTAAATCGAGCATATACACTCAGAAGAATTGAGTGGTGAGCAAAAATAAGAATAAGTGGTGGTGCGAATGTGCCTCGGTGGCGTAGTAGTAGTACGCGTCCTCTGTATAGATGGAACGCGGGTTCGACTTCCGTGCGAGGTCGTAATTTTGCTCACCACTCAGTTCTCTTAGGTATAAATGAAGTATTATAAGATTGCGAAGAAGGTGGTCAAAACATTAGTAATCTGGAGTAAAATCGAGCAGTTCGTTTAATTGAAATGTGATTGCTCTAATTCTTTTGCATTCACACAGTTGGTTTCGTAAGCAGTCGGTGACTGATTGAATACTACATTTCTGTGTTCTAAATAACGAACCACTAGATTTCATCCCTCATAGAATGTAGGGTTTCATTTTTTCTACATTTTTCATATCAACTCCATCGGCTAGGAATTTTAGAGCCTTAGAAAACTTGTACACTATGGTTGTTTTTTCACGATCTGATCAAGTGTTCGAGTTCCTTGCTCCTATACGTTTGGTTGGCGCTATACGCCCTTTTAGTTGTACTATGTGAGAGTATTCGAAGCAGTGTTTATGCTACCGTCACCGTTCGCTGCTTATTTCTCATGCGCGTATTCTAAAATTTTTGATACTTTTCTCTGTCAGTAGCGACATCCGCCAACATTTCACGTGTACAAGATCCGCCAGCGATCGGAGCAAAAAGGAAAAAATATCTATTGATATGGGTTTCTCGTAGCATTTATAGCGTTTCATTTCTCAACTCTTCGGCTCGCTACGGACGTAGACGGTTTTTGTCAGACTACATACTACCGGTCTGTTGCAGTTGGAACAGAAATTTGTACCTACGGCTTGTAGAACCTAAAAAAGCTAGAAGTTTTTTGAGATTATCTACTTACACCCTAGTCGTAGTACATTTTCTATTATTGAATCGTTTTATAGAATCTGCTGAATTGGATCAAGCGAAATCATCTCAACCACTTAGAATTGTTACTAAACAGCTAACTATCTTATATAAAGGCAGAGAGCCGCATATAAAGACAGATATCTACCAACTGTGAGTACATAGAGAAAGGCTGAATAATTGAATACATTTTCATTTTGCAATAGAAAATTAGAATTGTAGTTTGTTATTGCAATAAAAAGTCGGTCTCGGTGTTGTTAGTATGTAGGCAAAATGACTAGCAATTTTTTTCAACGATTCGTTCAACTTTATCAGTGACAATTGATGCTTTTCTGCTCATGAGCTCGCACGAAGTAGGCGTGAAAACCTTTTGTTTCCAGTGTTTGCTCAAGACCACGGCTCAAATTTCAATAGGCCTGATAATCATTTTTTGTGTCATGTAAGTGGTCTATTGAAGAGGGCTGACTTATTGGCATCGTT